TTAACTGAAAGTTCACATTTTGCACTTTCCCTGCCTCCCACGTGGTTTTTTTTCAGTTCTTAACTCAAATCTAAGTATGTAAGTCAAGTCAATATTTTCCTATGAGAGCGGTTCTTAAGTCAAAATGTTCTTAACTCAAGCTGTTCTTAAGTCAAGACCCCACGGTAAAGGGCACAAAGGGGGATCACCACAGAAGCTGACAGCATACACCAAGATCTAGGTCTATCGAGCCTGTGTCCTGAACACACTCCTGTACTGCAGTGAGTCCTGGACCCTTCATGCACGGCAGGAGAGAAAGCTGAACACATTCCATATGCGCTGCCTCCGACGTATTTTTGGTATCACCTGGCAGGACAAAGTTCCAAATAGAGTAGTCCTAGATCGAGCTGGAATTTTTAGCATGTATACACTACTGAAACAGCAACGCCTACGTTGGCTTGGGCATGTTGTGAGAATGGCTGATGGTCGGATTCCAAAGGATCTCCTGTATGGAGAACTAGTGCAGGGAAATCGCCCCAGAGGGAGACCACAACTGCGATACAAGGACATCTGCAAGTGGGATTTGAACGCCTTGGAAATGGATCTCAACAGATGTGAAACCCTGACATCTGAGCGTTCAGCCTGGAGGCATGTGGTGCATCACGGCCTCTCCCACTTTGAAGAGACCCTCGCCCAGCAGTCTGAGGCAAAGAGGCAGTCACAAAAGCAGCAAAATCAGGGAGCTAGACAGGGTACAGATTGTACTTGTCCTAAGTGTGGAAGGGATTGTCACTCTCGAATTGGCCTTCTCAGCCACACTAGACGCTGTTCCAAGTCCTCCATGCAGAGCACGATACCATAGTCTCTCGAGACTGAAGGATGCCTATGATGTTCCAGTATTAATAAGTGATTCAATTCTGCAAAATACCCCTAGTTTATGAATGTGGGATATTGTGCTTCTGTGACCGTAGTTTAAAAAGCCAGGAAATAGCCCAATACTGTATGTGCCTGTGTTGCCAGCAGGAAAAAGGATGCCAAGCTTTTCATAGTAAAGGACAGCCTGAATGTTGTCAACACTAATGTCAGCAGTCAAGATTGTCCCTAGCAGTGTTTCCCAGGCTGGGGGTCCTGACTGAAAGGGGCTGAAAGTGTTTTCTGGCAGGTCACAGGTTGCCTTATATGTGCTGTAGCAACTGTTAAATAATTTCTTCCTTGATCTTTCAGTGTGGAATATTAAAGTTAGTGCAGATATGTATATGCAAGAAGAAGGCCCTTTGTGGGAGAAAGAAACAAGTACTTCCTGAGAAGGGTTGACTTCACCCTATTAAAAATGCCTTTTTATCCAAAAGTGATGGGGGAGGTGTCACAGGTAAGGAGGGCTTGACCCAAAATGTTGGGAAGCACTGGTATACAGGATACAGTCTTGTCCTCACTATCATTCCCAAAGTGACATCATGCCAGAGAAAATCCTATGTGACTTATTTGTCCATTAATTAACCACTTCTCACCCAAACACAAAGCAATTGTGTTTCAACAAGTGTGAATGGTAGTGAGCAGAAAAGAGTAACCTGTAGATCATCTCGTTTGCTGCCACTCGTGTTGTCAACATTCATGTAAATCTTGGTATCTTTTTCCTGATGGCAACCAGGACACCATATTGTGCAGCAATACTGGATCATTTCCTAGCTTTTAAAATCATAGGAACAGAACCATAACATTCCACATCTAATATCATTAGCGCCTGACTGGCAGGGTCAAAAATTCAGACCTACCTTCTCCTGTTCTCAGGCTTATAAGAATGTTTATATTTAGTATGTTTGTGCTGATAAGAGATCTACAAAGTCAATTTTTCCCTCTTTGAAATAATTTTCTCAGATTCACCTCCCTGTCCCCAAAGCTTGGATTCCTTCCAAATGTTTAAAAAAAAAAGGGGGGGGAAGCTAGGACCAATACTGTAATTCTTTTTTCAAAATAGGCAAGTTTGATTTCTTTTCAGTGGATTAAATCTATTTTGAATCTGCAGACAGAAAAGGTTATTGATGTCTGCAGAGGGGGAAGGGTAAAACAGTTTTGCTTTTTAAAAATCATAACCTGAAAACCGTTTGCCCAAATGTTCCAAATGAAAAGTGGACCATCTGCTACAGCTGTGCCAAATTTGGTGCTGATCCAAGGTCCCATTTCAAAGTTAAAATTTTTTGTTTGTGGTGCCTCCATTTTTTGAATTTCCTTATGAAATGCTGATTTGCTTTGTTGCACACTATTGCTGTGCTCTCATACAGCAATAGTCCATCAGTGTTTTGGTAAATGTGAGAGCAGTATTACGACTGATGAAGTGAAAGAAGCATTACACTTCAGTAAATTGCCACCTGGACTTGCTTTCTTCTCCATCTTCTCTGTATGAAGATGCAGAGGTTGTTGCGTGTGAAGCTTCAGATGTGAAAGTCCAGAAAAGTGGGGGCGGGGAGGGGGGAGGTTGGCCCTTTTCCCACAGAGATGTGTAATTTCCAGAAGTTTTGAAGCATTGGGGGCAAACATTTTTTGAGTTTTTTTCCTCCTGGGGAAAACAAATAAAAGCAAAGCTAAACAAAACAAAAACACACCACCACCCTGGAAAGCAACATATTTTTTTGCCATGCTTTGACTCTGTTGCTACCAGCTTGAGTCCTGCATTGTGTGGATACAAGGATGTACTACCAGTATCATTGGTTCAAGGAAAGTTGTACAAGTGCTCAGTGTAAACAGCCTCTACATTTTAATGTTATGAGTGTGGTTCACAATAAACTTACTCATTTACAGTACGAGGCTACTGTTGGTTTACAGAGAATAGACAGGCAGCAAGTAGTGAAGGAGGGAGGAAAGAGATGGCACTGGGGCACATGGGAGAACAATCTGGTGGCAACTTGAGATGAAATAATAAACCAAAAGAGAATGAAGGAAAAACTAATGGTGCAGTATAGTATTATAACAAATGGTAAGGAAAAGACCGCAGCATGACAGTGGAAGTACGGAGCCATCACCAGAGTCACGTGTCTCACGCTGCCTAATGAAAGGGTCTACTCCGGCCATTGTGCTTAATAGCTTACGCACATTAAAGAATTTAAACACAGTACAGGCAGTTTCAGGCATGAATATTATCAAAACATCATCCCACTTCATCCACTGCATTTTACAGAGGTTTTATATGACGACATTGCCCTGCCCTCTTAATTCTTCTTTAGCTTATGTGGAAAAATTACTAAAGGGTAATAGAACAGCTCCAAAGCGCCTTGTGGCGTGGTAAAAAGCCACGTCTCCAACCCTTCTGAATGCGCGGCCCACGAGGCGCTTGGCGGAAACAGAACCTTCGCGCACGGCTCCGTAGTGAAGGGGAAGGTTTGCTGGATGGGACATGAGGGCGGCGGTTTGCAACAGGAAGCATATCCCCATCAGTCATGGCTGTGGACATTACGCTGCTGTTCAAAGCCAGTGTGAAGACGGTGAAGACCCGGAATAAGGCGCTGGGGGTCCCGCTAGGCGGCACCGAGAGCTGCCGTGACGATGTACTCTTGCTCAAGCGAGGAGGCAGCCCCCGGTCCAGAAGCGATTTCACCGGCAAGGCCCGCGAAGTGGTAAGTGGAGGAGGGGTGGAAGGGCTACTGCGTCGTGGCTTTGAGTGTCTTCCGCCTCCAAGTCTATGGACAAACCGGTCCTGCCGTCACGGCACCATTCGCGGCTGTGTCCGGATGAGCTAGCAGCTAATGACAGCAGCAGCAGTGCTGGTTTCAGCCCGAGGCACTGGTGCAGCTGTAAGAAGGAAGCCTATTTTTGAGTGCAGTAAACTTCAGTTCTGTGAAATCGCTGGAATTTCACATAAACTCAATTGAATTAAGTAGGATTTACCTATGACGAAAAGTGTTAGAGACTGGACTGTAAGTGTCTTAGTGGAAGTGAGTTTAATTCATTAAATACAAACCATAAATACAAAAATACATAATGAAGAACGTTGAGCTCAGTGATTTAAGGAGCAATACTTAAGTTCTTAAATGACGCATGTTGGTGTAGAGGACTGTCCAGCTCCTTCTCAATCATATTAATGTTCAGACATGTCTTATTAATAAATTGCAGCTATCTAATCTGCTCCAGTGAAATACTTTGTACTTGTCTTTTTCTTTCATCGTTTAATTCATAGGTTCTTAACCTGTGGTCTTAACCCCCCAGGGGACTGCAATGTCCTCACAAGGGCCCCCACAAAGGCTTGAAGAAATGTTATCTTTTGCAGTTAAAATAGAAAGAAAGAAAGAAAGAAAGAAAGAAAGAAAGAAAGAAAGAAAGAAAGAAAGAAAGAAAGAAAAGGAAACAAAGAACAAACACTTAATTTCCCTTGTTTGTGTAAAGCATGGCTTTTCTACCACTTCCATTTAAAACAAACAAAAGTAAAAATTGGTTATGAAAATAACTGATATTGCTCTACACATGGTGAGAACATATTCTAACTACTGTCATGCAAGTCAGTGGCGCTGAGTGGCTGAGAGACAACATGTGACATTTTTTGCTACTGCTCAGACACAAACCAGGGGAAGACAGAGTTGGAGTCAGTGTCAGTGTGCATGAGTGTTTGGATGGACTTTATGATTGTGTTTCTTATTTGATTTCTGCTAATAAAACCATTTGTTATTGTCGGGTAAAGTGACTTTGATTTATCTTGGTGAATTTTGTAATGCTACATTTTGGCTGAGCCTCAAAATGTATTACTGACCAAGTTTGAAACATAAAAGAACTGATGATGTTGATGAAGATGCATCCTGTTCAAAGCAAAATGAAGCTTCTTCCAGTCATTTTTTAAAAAAAGTGTTGGCATTATAGCAAGGAACAACTGTTGATGAGACCTTCATCAGAAACTTTAAATAAATATTTGATGCTCTTTAGGATTTTCCATCTTGAGTTTAGTCTTGGTGGTGAACGGCAACAAAATATATTTAAAGGGAGTCCATGGTAAAGATAAATGTAAGAAACATTGCACTAATAGTTTATTTTTATCATGTGTCATCAAGTCATTGATGACAGCTATATGAATTAACAGCTATATGAATGACAGCTAAGAAACATTGCACTAATAGTTTATTTTTATTATGTGTCATCAAGTCATTGATGACAGCTGTATGAATTAACAGCTTCCAGAAGGTCCTACCAAACATATATGCTCAGATTTTTTCAGAGCAAATGAGACTGTGGCTTCCTTTACTAAGTATGAGGGAATGAGTCAAATTGTGGTCCAGGTTTTTTGCTAGGGCCAGTCTTTTCTACATCCAGTTGAGAAGTTTCCCCATCTCATGTGCTCTAAAGAGAGTTGACCAGGACTTCTTAAGTGTCTCATTCTGTTCTATGCATACCATGGACAGGCCACTAGTTTGGCTGACTTTCCATTGAATCCACAATCAGCTGTAATATTGTGTCATCTATGTCAGTCTTCACAGGGTGGAGTAGATATGTCCTGTAACGTCACTGAGGGCCAAGCTCATTGGTTTAGTCTGCCTGTCTTGCAGTTTATCAGGGTGTGGCCACTGCTTATGCTACAGCTTGCTTGGAGCCACAGATGAGAATTGAGTTCCAGTAATGAAAAGAGTGCTTATACAGAGACTGTCAGTTCAGTCATTAGAGATATTTTTCCCACATAGTCACTCCATACCCACCAGACATTATTTATAGCAATGGTTCCAAACCTTGGTCTCCAGTTGCTTTTGGACTACAGCTCCCAGAAATCTTGGCCAGCACAGATAGTGGTGAAGGCTTCTGGGAGTTTTAGTTCAAAAACATCTGGGAACTCAAGGTTGGGAACCACTGATTTATAGGGATTGCACAAATACCAAAGACTTTGCATTAATATGTTTAAATACTTAAAGTCTTTAAACTTTTCTTCATTATAAAATCAGAGTTGTCTCATAACCTAGGTTCTTCATGTGAGATAGGCAATAAAACAAAATAGTAGCGGAAAACATGTTGCTTACATAGCAAGCCCTAGGCTGTCACTTTATCTACTATACCACACTGAGTATTGTTTGTGTTATTAGCTGGAGTCCCGGAGGCAGTTTGTGTTGTTCTGTCAACTCCTGCGACATCGCTGGAACCGGTTGTATTGGCTCTTGCCTTTCCATTGGACTATTTCAGTGATGTGGAGAGGGGGGATTTGCTGCTTGGGTAACAGCCTATCCTCCATATTATTTTACCCAGGCTTCATGCTCTGGAGAGGACACTCTCCAAGTCCTCCATACAGAGCATGTTACCATAGTCTCTCAAGACTGAAGTATGCCTAAAAAGATTATCTTTATTGAACTCACTGTCTGAAAACCTGTTGCTTAGCATAATAAATTGCATTAAAGTAGACCCACTGAATCAATGGGAATTTTGTTAGTGAGTTTCTTCATAGGTTCCATTGATTCAACTAGTCCTGCTCTAGTTGTGACTTACTTTAGTGTAGTAAGTCACAACTAAATAAGGGCCCTTTGAATTAATTGAGCTTACAGAGGAGTTGATTTCATAGAATCATAGAATAATAGAATGGGAATGGGCCTATAAGGATACCCAGTCCAACCCCCTGCTCAGTACAGGAACCCAAATCAAAGCAAAACTGACAGACAGTTGTCAACTTTTCTCTTGAATGCCTCCAGTCTTGGAGCACTCACCACCTCCTGAGGTAATTGGTTCCATTGTTGCTCTGCTCTAACAGCTAAGACGTTTTCCCTGATATCATACCAAAACCTGGCTTCAGTGGTGGGATTCAGCAGGTTCGCACCAGTTCTACAGAACCGGTAGCTAATGTATTATTGGTTCTGCAGAACCGTTTGTTGGCCTGCTGAATCCCACTACTGATCCTGGCCACTGCTCAGTACAGGAATCCAAATCAAAGCAAAGCTGACAGACAGTTGTCAACTTTTCTCTTGAATGCCTCCAGTCTTGGAGCACTCACCACCTCCTGAGGTAATTGGTTCCATTGTTGCTCTGCTCTAACAGCTAAGACGTTTTCCCTGATATCATACCAAAACCTGGCTTCTTATAACAGGAGCCCGTTCTTACATATCCTACAGTTTGGGATGATGGAGAACAAATTTTGCCCCTCCTCTGTATGACTGTCTTTCAAGTATTTGAAAAATGCTAACCTATTTCCTCTCAAGGCTAAACACACGGGTTCTTCAGTCTTACCTCATCTTACCACAAGAAAATTCAACTGGTTTTGATACCCAGAGTGAATTATGTATATATGACTTGTTCTGAATATTTGCTCTTCAGATTCTTGTTTTACTCTGATCTGTTCCTTGCATGTTTGTAGAACCTAGCTTTCTTTTTAACCATAGTTTTTGCAAAGTAAAGTGTGAAGGCCACAGAGGGGTGTTGCTGTCTCTTATACTGTATAATTTGGGGAAGTTATCATGAAAGGTAGGCATAGCACTAAAAATACTATAGACCCTGACTGAATGTTTTCAAATGTGATAGATAATAACTTAGGATAAGTGAAGGATGTACTAGGATATCATTGTCAGATGTCAATTTATCTGCAAATTTTTCTGCTAATAACAGGGCAAACCAGCAACCCTGCAGAAGAGTCAGAATTGTGCCACAATGGTAGTCAGTGTCTAGTGAGAGACATCTTCCCTTCTGTACTTGTCCTTTGGCCACTTTCTCATGGCTTGGGCTGCATATCTACTTTCTTTCTTTCTATTTCCTGCATATCTACTTTCTGTTTTCCAGAATAACTAGCTTTCTTGTTTAATTTGCATACAATAACTTGTCCGATTGTATTTATTCTGTTTCTGGACCGAGCTACATAATTATTTCAGAGCAATAATGCGATTAGGTGATTTTTTCAAAAAGGATTAGCTTAAAATTTCCATGCTGTTTTCTTTGAAGTTCATTTTGTTGCAATTTAAGATTAAGGAGCAAGTTAGGGAAGAAATGATCCCTTCTTTCTTTTTTCTACTTACTCTTAACTGTAGGTTAGCAGTTTTCTGTGGAAAAATTCTTGCAGTCTTTATGCTTGAATTAAGTGTGCCTCGACATCACTGGGAGTGGGAACTAAATATGACCATTCTCAAAGTTCTTTCTTGGCACTGGTCTTGAGATTTTTAGTTCTTCTTTGTTTAACTATTGCTCCCTCTACTTTTGTGGGAAGAACAACAAAACTGAGAACAATGAAGCAACATAAAAGAGAAACAGGAAAACAATTTAATGATTAGCACTGAAACAAATATTTAATTAAGATAAAAATTATGCCTAAAAGCCCTAATGCTGACTTTTGGAAACAGAGGCATGTTTGGAAAGCCCAATGTCCCATACAGTAGATATTCCAAATTGCTTGGGAACTGGAGCTTGCTTTTGCAAGCTTGGAATGTCCTGCAGATAATTAAGTTGTGGTTAGGCTTTAGAAAAATACAAAGTTCTCGAACTATGATTTTATAAACATGCTGCAATAACATTTCTTTATATTTAACAGTTTCATATAGAAAGCTGATACTCTCACAAGGCATTGATTAAAGGTAAAACATCAAGAAAGGAAAAATATTAAATTAAAACTTCAGTTAGGATGTTGACAGTTGGTTTGTAATATTAAACAGATGTGCATGTTTTTGGAATAGTC